ACATTGGTGGACATGGTGAATTTTTCCACCAACACGAAAGGGGTGGGTTTTTGTTTTCTTTTTTTGGTCATAAGCAGAGTGCTTGCTAGCGCTGTCCTTAGACAGTAAACTTGACAAAACTATTGAGGAAAAAAACGCCATGTATATATTGTTTATCATGACTCTGGTTTTACGTGTCCTATCAACACAATTTAAAAATTCAAAATTTAAAAATATCACCTTGTTGCTTTGTCATCTTGAAGTGGTCATGTGATTGGCTTACCGACTACGACTACTTTATTCTTCCTCAGTTAAACAGCAGCACTCATGCGATTCTTTTGCCCCCTTAGCTCCAGGTGTTGTGCAAAAAAGTGATCGTTGGGCAGAAAGTGATTGCCACCCGCAGGAGCGCGCGCAGCTACTTAAAGCTGTAGCGCCCAGATTACTTACAGCTACTTCCGTGCAACTGATATAAGGTGCAGTAACCTAAACACAGCTTCAACCGTCTGTTTGTTGAAAAATAGTAACGTGACCGCTCCGCATTTTCTTGTTTGCAACGGTAACGGCGTTGTAACGATAGGAATAGTAATTAGTTAGATTACTCGTTACTGAAAAAAGTAATGCCGTTAGTAACGCTGTTACTTGTAACGCCGTTATTCCCATCACTGTTGTTAAGTCACTTAGAGTGTCCATATTTTTTACTGATGTATCTGGCTTCACCTTTCTCTCATTAAGAAGCTAGATGATAATTGATTACATATAAGTGTCTTGATTTTTAGTTTATTTATGCATGACCTCTTATTTCAGTGTTTCTACGTCCCAGTTTAAAAAGAGAGAACGTATTCAATAAATAGCAATACTGATAAAACTTCCTTTACTGATTTATAATTTCCTAATAAGTCAGTGGTGCTTTTAATTTTAAAACTATAATTATTTTTAACATTATATTTATGTCCTGATCTTCTTGGGTAGTTTTCGTAAGACATAAACTTATCATTAAAAATTTTGTTTAAATACTCGTCATTATACAGGGTGGGCCATTTATATGGATACACCGTAATAACAT